TTATATATATATGTTTGTGTATACGCGTTTTACATGTTTATATATAATCATAGTAAATATATTTTGTAAACTATATATACATATACGTATAAATATATATATATATATATATATATAATTGCAAATACTATTATGTTGTTATATTATTATATTGTTATTTTATATATATGTATATATATATATATGTGAGTGTGTGTTTGTGTACGTGTATATATAAATATATGTATGTATATATATGTATATTTGTATTTATATTTTGTATTTATATATATATATATATTTATGTATGTATGTATATATGTATGAACTGGTATATATATATATATATATCGGTATATACAATATATATATATATATATATGTTCGTGTGTATATATATATGCATACATTTATATTCATATAAATAAATAATATATATATTATATATATATATATATATATATTTATATATATGCCTAAACTAATGTGTATATATATATATATATATAGCAATGTGTGTGCGTGTGTGTATAGTTTGTATATATATATATGTATGTATATTGTATTTATATATATATATATATCGGTATATAAATATATAATATATATATGTATGTTTGTGTGTATATATAAATATATAAAAATATGCATACATATATATATATTTATATTTATAAATTTATACATATGCATAAATATGTATATATATATATATGTGTGTGTCTATATATATATATATATATATAGCAATGTGTGTGTGTATAGTTTGTATATATATATACATATATAGACATATATATATATATATATACGCTTTTACATGTTATATATAATCATGTAAATATATTTTGCAAAACTATATATTTGTGTGTGTATGTATAAATACATATATGTATATACATGTAGATATACGGACATATATACATATTCAAAATTATATTAATATCGATGTAGATATATATATCTATGTATTTATATATATATGTGTGTGTATATATATATATATATATATATATATTAGATATATATATATACATACATATATATAAATATACATATACATATAAATATATATGTATATATATATATAATCATACATTTTTATGCATATATGTATATATATGTGTGTGTGTATGTATAGGGGTTCATATTTGTATAGTATTTTATATCGCCACCTGCGGTATATCATTTTTCTTTTCCAACTGTTATGTAACTCTTTACACCCGAAGTTTTCTCAGTTTAGTCTATATTGCCTGAACTGTCGCACCGAAAGACTTGTTGCGTTGCGTTTGAGCATTGTGGGATCTGCATGCCTGATCCTATCTTGTGAAAGGCTTCATTATTGGAAGTTGTTGGCTACCTCTGCTTATGTTGCTTAGGCATTGTAAAGTACCAAAAAATTACAAGGTAACTTACATCGAGTATAAAATACATATTTAAATTCTTTGTCTGTTGAATACAAATAGGCTAAAACCAGTGACGGCACACCAGCCAAAAGTGCAAGAGAACAGTACGAGGAATGGCTTGGTGAGCAAAAGAAGGCCTTTATAAGGGCCTTATTGCAACTTATAGGCACCGAGGACACGTCACGGCAGGTGGCTGGGTTACAGATGTGTATGCAATGGGTCGAAGTAGAGGCTCAGAAACTCACACAGACGAGCACACACGTGTTCCCGAATACACTATTTCTGAGGGTGGTGGATGCTATGACTATAAACGACAACTGCAGCGAAGCGCTGGTTCGGGCCTTCACGAAAGGTATGCGATATAGATATAACATATATATATATATATATATATAGGTATCCTATAAAAGTATATATATTCTGGTTTGTGATATCGGGTTTCAGTGCAGTGGTAAGTAGCCTATTCACGCACACTAGAGCCTGGCTGTAGGTCTATTGCTAACCTGTGACTAAGGATGGCTCACTGAATATCATAGTATATGTAATCCGACTCACAATTCAACTCGGCGTAACAGGATTCAGTTACTGTCCGATCATATGCAATGATAGTAACGTAAAATATTGACACATATACTGCTTGAGTTGCTGTATGATCGTACTCGACAGTATGTGATAACTTGTGAAGCGCGACGATATGAAGAAAATGAAGGTCTAAAACTCTGGTCATACGTAAGCTTGGTGAAGTAAACATTTCGCCGTTGAAGGATAGCTAGTCTTGTCAGGGCGCGACTACCGTACGAGAATCTATAAATACACCCTGACTCACATGCCGTTATTGAACTCCGCGTGGTAGGGTTCCTGTTAAAATATGACGATGTTCGGTACTACACACTCAAGAACCTGGCGCTGACTATGAAGAAACTGGAGGATTCGGGCGAGAGCGAGGCCTCTGCCCTGGTAACGAGCAGGCGTATCTATTCCATCCTGTCGCCCATTGTATTCCCCACTGAAGTAGAAGAGTTGGACTGCTTCTTGTCCCCGCTTGCCGGACAACAACCCAAAGACGGTAGTTGTATGGTGTTATTACGCATTGCGCTCTCTGTGTGTACATGTACGTAGACAAGTACATTGAGGTCGCGTATCGCTGATATGGGCGTTGTTGTATACGTATTCTCCATCGAATGAAGGGAGTTGTACTGGTGTTTGTCCTCTTTTGCCGGGCAACATTCTAAGCTCGGAAAGTATCCGGTGTTAGTGCGAGGCTCAGACTAGATCATATTTTCATACACACTCGTGTGTATAGATTCTTTCAAACCGTACCTAGATATCAATAGCCATTTCTTTTAAACTCTGTGTGGATATGTATGTGCGTAGTCATTGTATAACATTTCTCGCCTCTTCATCCGTGTCTATTTTTATTCTTGTCCGTTTCTATATTTATTCTTATGCTTATCTGTATTTATTCTTAGGCGTATCTATATTCTTATCCGTATCTATTTTTATTTTTAATCGTATACTTTTCCATTTTTGTCCATTGTTTCTTAGGCGTATATATATTCTTATCCGTATCTATTTCTATTTTTATCAGTACATGTACTTCTATCCGTATCTATCTTTATTCTCATCCGTATCTATTTTTCATCTTATCCATTTCTATTTTGATCCGTATCTGCCTATATTCTCATCCGTATCTATTTCTATTCTTATCAGTTTACTTCTATCCGTGTCTTTATTTTTATTATTTTTACTCGTGCAGATTTGGTTCCGATCCTACCGCTCCTGTTTCTTATCCCACAGTATCTGTCATGTCAGTGATTGTGCCTCACTTTCTGCACCATACTCCCATACTTTTTTTCTACAGCCGGAACCACCACCGCAAACACACAATCCAAGTCTAAGAAGCGTACCGCAGCCGATGCCAACGATAACGAGGCCGATGAAAAAGCCCTCAACTTAACTGCCTTAGCCCCCCACCGCAAAGTATTCACGGTGTGCTGGAGAGCGCTTCTGCGCCGCGCCTTGCCCTTAGATGTCTACAAGCGCGTGCTTCTAAAGCTACACACGGACATCATGCCGCACATGTCTAACCCGCGGCTATTGATAGATTTCCTGACCAATGCCTACGACCAGGGGGGTGTGGTGAGTGTGCTGGCGCTGGACGGTCTGTTTGTGCTAATGACCCAGCACAACCTGGACTATCCCGACTTCTACGTCAAGCTGTGGCGCATGTTTGACCACGAGATATTTGTGGTCAAGCACCGAGATCGCTTCCTCAAGCTGGCAGATACTTGCCTGAACTCTCCCTTGCTACCCGGATATCTTGTGGCCGCATTTCTGAAGCGTCTGGGGCGCCTGGCACTGAGGTGCCCGCCATCGGGGGCGGCGTATATCATGCCGTTGATGTTCAATATGATGCAACGGCATCCTAATTGCATGGCCCTTATACACCGCGAAAAGGTGGGGTATTTGGGGGTTTTTTTTCTAGTTCTGTATATTATTTTGTGTACTCGTTGTGGGTCGTGAGATGTCTTCTGTCGGGGGCTGAGTGTGTTTGCCGTTGATGATAAATATGATGCAACTGCATTCTAATTGCACCGCCGTTATACACCCCAAAGTGTAGGATAGGATATGATATTTAATGTGAATTAGGGTATTTTTGGCTTTCCTCAAGTTATGCCATTTATTTTTTAAGTATCTGTGGGTTTTTGATAGGCAATTTGCCCCGAAATCGTGTACGCTGAGATGTCCATGATATGGTGAGCTGTTTGGGTGATGTTACCACTGGTGTCACTAATATTAAACGACATCCCGTATTACGGCACTAATACACCGCAACATATGGTGTTAGCATTAACTACAGCACGCATTATTTCGGTCTCCGATGCCGAAATACCACCCACCTTACTGGGTGAGGATGCAGACACGTATTTAGAAACATCTCCTATTTAGCTGTCAAGAAACATGGCGGTTGTTTCATTCACCATTGGCGTTATTTCATCACCAGTACGGCATTGTTATACTACGAAAACGCAAACGCATACGCAGCAGTCGTGAGGCGCGGCGTTCTCCGCAGCAGTGTATAGTGTGAAGAATTAGTACCTAGGCTTTGAATATCTACGTCTTATTCAGTCACTAACGCCTGACTATCACTCCCCACAGAGCGACGGGACTGATCCGTATATAGAGGACGCTGGCGATCCGAAGAACTGCCAAGCCATTGAAAGCTCACTGTGGGAGTTGGATGCTTTATTCCAACACCAGGTGCCGAGTGTTGCGAAGTTTGCGGAACAGTTCAGTGATGTGTTCAGCAAATCAGCCTTTGAGGTGTCTGATTTTTTGGAGAGTGATGCGGCGGTAAGTGTGGGCGCTCTTCGTTGAATATATAGTGTGAGATTCGTGTGGGCATGTGTGATGGTACGCATGTTTTTGTCTAGGCTATATAGTTTGTTTATGTCTATATATATATATTTATATTTATATTTATATATATATTGTGTGTGTACACGTGTAGATACGGCTGAATTGAGGGCAGGAATTCAATGGTGTGTTCCACAAACCATCCTCGTAGTGCCTGTTGTCTTGGAGGGTGGCTTTGCGGTACGTAAGCGCATAGACCAGTGTGCGTGATACTCCTTATAATCACATCTTAATGCTTTAATAAGCATATACGTAATCTGTATGCTAATATGTGTGTGTATATACTTTGTTTGAGAAGTTGGCTCTTCCATTCAGCAATGTGCTGAGCAAACGCGGCCCTGTTGAAGTGATCGATATTGTCGTGCACAACATCCGCTATCGAGTATTTATCAGCTCACTCAATATCTACTCTGGGCTGTATTGCTACTATTATTATTTTTCTTGTATACATTACTGCTTACACATTCTCTATTATTTACTTATATTAATCAAACCTATTTCTGAGTTGCTCAACATGGACTATTATTTGCTCAATGACTCGAGCCAAATTATATTCGCAGGTCAAAGCGTACATTGTACACTCGCATTGTGAGTTGTATTGACAATACTATTATTTCATTATTTCAAGTATACATTTTACCGCTTGCACAATATTCACTATTATTTAGTTGTATTACTAGAACTTATTGTAGATTGCTCAACGTCCACTGTTATCTGTTCAATGACCCGAGCCATTATATATCTTATCAAGGAAGAGCATGCATCGTATACTCGCTTTGTGGGTTGTATTGGCATTACATTTATTTTTCTATTTCAAGTATATATATTACTGCTTACATAACATTCACTATTATTTACTTGTACTACTAGAACGTACTATGGGTTGCTCAACCTATACTCGCGCACAAATTGCCCGCTGTCGCGTACTTGCAGGCTTACTCACTTTCCGATATCGAGCATATTCAACCATTAAATCCGAAACCTAACCTCTACCCAAGAGATGGTACAACAGAACCATATACTTGCACACTAAACATACACTAACAAATAAATTATGGCGTACACACATCTGTTATATATGTTTTGTTTTCGAGGTTGTACGATAATGATCCTATTCGATCGTCAAATCCTAAAACCCTAAATTCTACTCACAGATGATTCAGGATGAACTTAAAATCAGGGTACGAGGCGACGTACCGTTAGAGTACCAGAAGCCAACCGGACTCATTGGTAGTGACGAGCACTCAGCTGTGGTCAGCATGGGCTGGACTTTCTAGTACACATACACACACACATATATATATATATATATATATAGATGAATGAATAAATAGATGGTAAATACATTTTTATGTGTGAATATATACATATATTGATCATCACCAAAAGGCCGAGTTGGCAACGGTTACAAATACAGTATTGTAAATTCTATTGGAGGCGTGGGCATGAGCTGGACTTTTAAATTGTTCAACCAAACAAGGACATCTAATGACAGACAGCATGAAATAAAGCATATTTAGACGCTAAACGAGTATAAAGAATGAACACTGTGAAACCACGTAAATACAGTTATATATATATGTGTGTGTGTGTTTGTGTTTGTGTGTGTGTGTGTGTTTGTGTGTGTGTATGTAAACATATATATATATATATATATATATAACATTGTATTCACGTGTATATCTATTTAGTATACAGGAATCTATGCATACACGCATATATTTCAGTGTATCTGTCTTCGTTCGACATACCAGGAACGAGCTACCCCACGTTTAGCGTATCTGCAGTGAGTGCACGCAGATGTCAAGGGAAAAGCATCGCTATCTGTCTGTTCACCATTGTCAACACAATTGCTTGACTGTAATAGTCAAACGTCGATTCTATTTGCATAGACACACATCATAACTGAGTGTGGAGTGACACAGTATTGATGTATTCATGCGAGAAGTGGCACAGTTGATATGGCGTGATAGCGCGTATGCTAGCCTCAATCCGTTTCGCGTTAAACGTGTACACTTTGGATAAATATACGTTTTTATTATAGTTTTCGTTATGGGTCCATGTTTTGAGCCATGAAGTTCAACATTCATTATACGAAGTATCCGACAAATTCCCATATTCACTACTAGGTCGATTTTGTCCAGTCTTGTTACGCGTATAAACGTTTTCAAAGTTTATAAATTCCAGGTGAACGTTCAACGTTTATATTGGACTTTCATAGTACAGATGTACATATATATATATACGTAAATAACACGTTGTCGTACTCGTACAGCCTTACATGTCTATACATACACCTCGTAGGGTTTAATAGGCCGTTTATACTACTCTAGAGTCTGTGTGTGTGACAGTCTGTAGTCTGTACATAGCACCAATGAAACACTATGGCGCAATGGATAGAGGGGTCTCTCTGGCATACTGCCTTATACGGCCGTGAGATGTGTGTCTATACCGACGCAATTATCAAGTGTGTGCGTGTAGCTGATCACACCGATTCATTCTTATTCAAGCTCGTGGTGAAGGCAATAGACCCTCCTATAAATACTACAGTCAAGATACGAATGTTTTTCATACGTACAAGTATGATTTTACATCTTGGTCAGAATTTAATGAGCTGGCGGGGTCGAAGAGAAGAAACATACGTCTTCCGGTTTGAATTGCCTGATGAGGATTGTAATGTGAAGACGTTTCGTGACGATGTAGCACGCATGCTAGTCTCAACAACAAGACAGATACCTATACATACGGTTACACCTCTCGATATGAGGGAGGTGGATATGGCAACCGCTCAGTTATCGTCAGAGATCTCTGAGTGTGTCCCTTTGCCTCAGAGGGACTTCATTAAAGCGGTCGTGTGTGGCGATATTGCATTGGCGCTTGAGAGGTTGCGCACTGGTGCGGTCGATATCAATGCCAGTGATAAGGTGAGTTTAGTGATATGTGTGTGTTTAGTACCGTTTGGAATGACTCATGTTACTGTTGTAGCTTTGGAAAATGGTTGGTATATATTGCAGGGTGTTCTGAGGGCTGTATTATTATAGTGACCTGGACAATGTTTGGAGCGAGTATGTTACAAAGTGGAAGGAGCTCTGTGGCTGGTTTTTGGCCGAATCAATATGGCGCAGTGATAGTTGCGTGAACATTCGGAGCGCGTAGGGAAGTTATTGGAGCCAAAGTACACTACAAATTGGAAGTGATCGGCATTGCATTCCCTCTCAGAAGTTCATATATGGTCGAACATATATATATATATATGTGTGTGTGTGTGCGTGTGTTTGTGTGTGTGTGTGTGTGTGTGTATATATATATGTCTGTACTTGTATTTATATATCAATACATGTCCAACATACTCATGTACTTCAGTTAATATATTTACAGACATATAGACATAAATACATACACACACACACACACATCTACCTACCTACCAACCTACCTACATACATACATACATACATACATACATACATACATACATACATAGATACATACATACATGCATGCATGCATGCATACATACATACATACATACATATATACATACGTACATACACACATACATACATACATACATACATACATAAATACATACATACATATATATATACATACATCCATACATACAT